AAAAAAATTAAACACCTTCTCTCGTAAATTACGAGAAAAGATCTCGTAATTACACAATTAATAGCCTAATTAATTACATATGTGCAAATAGCCTGTGTCGTCCTTTGTTAACCATTTCACATACATATGTGACTCATTTCAATGCCGCAGCCACAGTGAAGGGGTGAAATAATTGATCCAGGAGTAGCTGCAGTGCACAACAACAACCAGCAGGTGGCACATGTGAGCAGTTGAGATGCAGCGTCCAACTGAAACTGTTTGAGAATTAGCAGTACTGTTATATTTTCTGCCGGACCTGTACAGTATACTAACTCGTTACACAGTCTTAATTTCATAAAGGACATTTATACTATGATATTTAAACCAACCATCTGTATTATGAAACATGAAAATAAACTTTTAGCTTCTGAAGTATTTATTTAGACAGCTCTGATAGAGCTCAGGATTTATCAGGAGGATGCTGCTTTACTCCAAACAATTTCATTATATGAACCTGAACTGTGTGTGACCTTTTGGACGTGTAGAAGAATACAGAACATTAATTAACATTAGATCCTGATATATTAGATCCAGATAGGCTAATTAATGAAGTTGGGCTGCTGTGTCTCGTGTGTAAAAGCCCACAGCATCTCTCTCGGTGGGGAGACGCACTTATCGTTTCTACTGCGGTTGCATCTCTGCAGGTATTTAATAAACTCAAACATTTTTTGGGGAGGGTGTGTTTAATAGTCAGCACTCCCGCACCTCCAACTGAAATCATGTTCTCGCAGCTATGGGTTCACCCGCTAATTTATGCACCATTTATGAACCACATTCACAACCAAATGTATTTCCCTGCACAACCAAGAATGAAAAATTAACCATCACAGCAGTATCGATACTTTTCTTGATAGAACAGTGTAAGGACGCAGTTTTCTGTAAAATGTGCAGATCTGTGTTTTCGTGAGCTGATCGGTACTGAACTAACAATGACTGTAGAATATAATAAGCCTCCCGCCCCATGTGTGTAGCTTTGTATTTTGTATGGTGTGTTCTGTGTGTTTCTTGCTTTGTATTGTTTGTTGTTGTGCTGTTGTATGTTTTGATTGTGGGGGACTGCGGATGTAAATTAGCTTTGAGTTGATTCTGGTGCAGTGCATCTTTTATGTTACAAATTGTACACTGTCCCAATTCTTATGACTAGTATATTTTATGGAAAACAATATATGAACCCAAAGATTACAATAAATTAAATGGTAGCCTATTACAAATTAAGCTATTTTCTAAAAGTTTACTACCTACTAGAATCCCACATCCTGTGTTAAATAGGCCTACAATGTATCCTATTTACAATGAAGCTTGATTCTGCACTCCCACATCCCATTAGTGACAGCTGACGTTAGCGTTAGTTAGCTTAGCTCAATCGTCCTACAAACAATAACCCATAAAATTACAATTCAACATATTTAAACAAAATCAGCAACAGCTACCAACAGTCCTTACAACCTTAGCTCATGTGTTGTCACAGGTTAGATTGTCAAAATGAAAGTAATAACAGCTTAAATCCCTGAGGAACTACACTAGCATTAGTGACAGTCGCATCCACTCGTATGCAGTTACCTTACGTTACAGTTCCCTCAAACAATATCACGAAGCACAATACAAACGATATAAACAAGTTATCTATTAAGGGTACACTACTGATAAAATCTGAAGGTGCTTAGGTGACATTTACCCACCCGAAAAAATAAATGAAAACAAACGGTGATTTTGCTGGTCTTCATAGCTTTAGCCTACTCTAGGTGTAACTGCCAACTCTCATGCCTTTACTCAAATCAGTTATGCTTAAAATTGAATGGGGGGCATCTGTATGGTATCTGTAACGATACAAAATCGATATGTCACAATTTAGCGGGCGGATACACATAAAACCTACCCTATATGTCACATACATTTGCAGTTCTACATCATGACACTGAGATCATTAGGATAATAGGGGATCTAACACTGACCCTTGTGGAAATATCATAGTATAAATGTTGCTGTCTCTCAACTGCTCACATGTGCTAGGCTACCTGCTGGTTGTGGTTGTGCACTGCAGCTACTCCTGGATCAATTATTTCACCCCCTCACTGTGGCTGCGGCATTGAAATGAGTAACAGATGTAGGCCTATGTGAAATGGTTAACAAAGGACGACACAGGCTATTTGCACATATGTAATTAATTAGGCTATTAATTGTGTAATTACGAGATCTTTTCTCGTAATTACGAGATAAGGTGTCTAATTTTTTTTTTTTTTAATCCAGTGAATGCAATGCGCTTCCGTAGAAAACAGTTCCGGGTCACGCAAATTGGATCAAATGAAAAATCAAAATCAAATTTTAATTGTGGCCCATTTTTCGATTACCTATTTTAGATGTGAGCATAAAATCAAAAATAAGAAAAACAAACCGTTTTTTGTATTTTTGAATGTGATTATTAAACGAATAATGAAAAAACAAACCGTTTTTTCGTTTTTTGATTTTTGATTTAAAATTGAAAATGGAATGAACGAATGATACACGGACCGAGATGAATACAACATTTAGCCTGTCACATAAACAGAAAGAAAATTGGCCAAGAATAACTTAACATGGTGACTCTCTGTTTAGACTTTAGCTATAAGATGGTGGAATAAGGTGTCTTATTCTGGGCCGCAAATACTCTCTAATTTATCCTGCAAACCCAGTTTATCATTTCAAGGCAAATCCCCGAGCCTAATTCCCTAACCATCTTGAGGAACAAGGAGCACTGGTAGCCTTCCATTCCTTAAGAGAAATCCTCTTTGCTACTAACATGCCAACCATCAAGGACTTCTGTACAGGATGTGGCAGAGCGTGAGAAGCTTCAGAACAACCAAGCAGGGCAATTAATGGGTCAAGTTCAATGAATGTCACAAATATTACAATACCAAGAGAAGATATCCTGCCAAAAAGGAAAATCTCAGGACAAAACCAGGAAGTATGACCTAGAGCCACTTTTGTGAAGTTACATCTGTCACGAATGTCAAATAAGTTAGGATATATACTGTTAATCTTTTCTTATGAATAATGTAATCTATGCATGAATTTGAACTGAATCACCTGCAATCTAGCATTAAAGGATAACTTCAGCATTTTTTAATCTGGACCCTATTACCAGGTGTAAATTAATCAAAGACACTGATGTGAACAACAACTTCTGAAACTTTTGGAATCCAGTATTAAGGAAGCCGGCAGCGGCTGAGACACAGAATGAGCTGCAATGGAAGCACACGGGGCAATTAAATGTCACTGTATGTCCATTAAAAGTGGTTCTTTTTGACACAGAGCAGCGGTGGAGTAACTGTGACCCTCTGCCCACAGAGGAAAAATGCATATGTTGTACAGAGTGGTTCATGCTTGTGCATTTCCGACCTGTGCCCACAAAATGAGGAGCTACACTTTGAGCAGCTGTTATAGATCTTTGTTGGATATGGATGTCCTAATGTTTTGGCTAGTTGTGCTACTAATGGATCCTAACACTGCTGTCCATACACTGCGCATGAAGACCTGTGGGTCTGCAGTGACCTCCAGGATGACTACTACTTGTCAAAGAGAAGAAGAAATCCAGAGCTTATTTTCCAAAATAAAACTGCTGTTTCAAGAGTGGATTTACCTGCTGCAGATGTGTAGAGGTAGGCTAATGCTATTAGCTAGTTATTATGTTGACATTGCATAATGTTACACATGAAAGCACAGCAGGATAACAGCAAAAACAATCAATCAATAAAGGATTAGGGGGTGCAAAATATAAAGTGATTCAGCACGGATTATAACAAAGCCATATGGATTGATTACCCATTTTGATTAGCTGACATACATAGTATAAAATAAGTGATATCAACAAGTTGACACTTTCTATGCCATAGTGTGTGCATGGTGGAATAATGTATTCTTCGGTATTATACAACCTACGATACAACCTATTATGTATACATATATGTATATAGGCAAGGTTCTTAATGCTGCTAGCCTACCCCAGGATGAGTGAAACCACAAAAACAAGTGTGATACTGGCTCAGACATTGCCGGAGTTAACAAGGTCCGCTTCAGGTGTTGGGGAACCAGGGCAACCTGATGAGAAATGGGCTACTGGAACAAGACATAGATGGACTAGAGCAGCAGAAGATGAGGATGAACCATCTTGGAGGAACAAGCCCCTGCACGGCATGTACCAACGACAGATTGAATAAGAAGCTGACATCAAGAAATCCTACCAGTGGCTGGAAAAGGCTGGAATGAAAGACAGATCAGAAGCACTAATCATGGCAGCACAAGGACAGATCCTGTGGGACTTCCATATCCAGACTGACAAACTGATAATGGCTGACCAACCAGACAATGTGTTGATCAACAAACAAAAGTTGAAGGCAGTGGTGGTAGATGTAGCAATCCCGAGTGACAGCAACATCAGGAAAAAGGAACAGGAGAAGCTCGAAAAAGATGTGGGGAGTAAAGGCAACAGTGGTGTCAGTGGTAATCATATATATGTATATGTATATGGGTGATTCTTCATTTAAGGGAGTTTTTCTGTCCCCAGGGTAGATTTTCAAGAAAAAAATGTTTTTTAGAAAAAACAATTATTGTATTTGTTAAGGTTAGGTTGTAGTAGCTATGAAAAAAATAACTGTGTCTCAATGATGACATTTTAATACTTTTTCAGTGTGTTGAAAATTCAAATGTGCAAGAATTTCACTGTTTTGGGCTTGTCCCCAACCCAGACTTTTTGACATCCCCTCTATAATAAAGTAATAAAAAGGGCTAAATTTATTACAACTTTACTTTGCATTTCCTCATAACAACTTAAGAAGACATTTTTCAAATTCATATAGTTTGTATTTGTTCAATTTGCAATTTATTTATAGTTAAATATCACTGTCCTCATACATCTGTCATTACCATCACACTCAACATTTTAGAGAGCAATAAAGTAACAGTTACTTACATTGTTGCATGCAAATTAGATGCTCCAGAGGAACATTCCCAGACATGAGGCAGAAGCCTGATTTTTTGATGCCCACATATATGTAAGTAATTTGATGTTTTATACATCCTACAGTACAGGTACTGTACACCAGTGTTCATTTTTATGTCATTACCAAAACATGTTGTCATTACCGGAATACACTGTCATTACCGCCACAATACATTTTTTGATAGAAAATGTTGCTTTTTTGTTAACTTGGGTCTTACCTCAATCATTGTGGTAATGTTTACAAGAAAAAATATACATTGCAATTCAAATATTCTAATTAGAACGCAATATTTCATTGTTGAGACCAGGCAATATATTAAAAAGTTAGAGAGAACATGTTGTTAAAATGTATTTTAAATGTACTTACAAATATTTAGAACATGATTCTTAAAGAGCATGTTTTGTACTTACTGGAATGATTGTGAAAACTTTGCTTGTCTAATCATTTTGTATTAAAATCAGTGTTTTGTTTTAGTGATGGTAATGACATTTTGCTGTGACAACTTTGAAAAAAGCATTATAATATCAAAATGATCATGAAGTACAATCAAAGCTATGCTAAGATCTTTGTTCCAGACCAACTGATAAACCTTTTGAAATAGAAAAAAAAACAGAGATTAAAGAACATTATTTTTTCAAAATTCCAAAAGTCAAAAGTGCCCCGAACTGAAGAATCACCCATATATATATATATATATTTACATATATAGATTGAAACAGTAAAATAACCTCTGCTGCCTTTTTTATCTCTGTCTCGTCGTCCACTTTTAATGTGTATGCTCTGCCACAAATAATAGCAGTGATAGAATTCAAAGGCCTGAGACACATTTGAAATCAGGTAAATAATCATTCATGATATTGAAAATCTTTTATTCAACAATAAAATAAATTTTCTAAAAACTACTGTGGTTTTTATACTCTCTCCAAATCTCACACACACATCTCCTGATGTTTCAGAAAGAGACTTGTGCTTAACAAGGCAAGTGAAAGGTAAAGAGACGCTTCAGACACTTATAATAATACTCATAATAACAATCTGAGCTGCTTTGTGTCAAAAATAATCACCTTTAATGGACATATGGTGACAATGTTCAGTGTCCCCACGTGCTTCCATTGTAGCTTGTTCTGCGGCTGCTGACTGCTGACTGCTGCCGGCTCCCTAAATACTGGACTGATTTCAAACATCAGTCTCTTTGACCAATTTACACAGAGAAATAGGGTCCAGGTTTGAAAATACCAAAGTCATCCATTAATTGAGCTTAGATGGATCCTCTTCATCCCCTCCTGCCATACCTCCTCCATAAACCCTACACCAAGATCTGCCTCCCAGGCAAATTTGATATGGTTTGCTGAACTGACATTCATATTACAAAATGACACAAATTTTGAGACAAGATGTTTCAATACCAGGATGTTGTTTCATCAAAAAACAATCATTTAAACAAAATTGTTAACGTGCTAAATACAAAAACAAACTTCAGCATTTCAACAAAGATTAAAATCCTCTACTTTGACCTGCTGCAGGAATAAAGTCCATTCCTCCTAAACACTTCATGTGTCTCCTTCACAATAAAAGATTTCCAGACACATTTCTTATATCACATCTTTGAAAAGATTTTAGAAAGTAATTTCACTTCAGTAAATTATCCAAGTGAATTATCTGAATTATGACAGTTCACCCTCTACAGATTTGGTAAATGTGTTTGTATTTTGGCCAGGTTTTTCTCTGTGAGCAGTGGGACCTTCGGCTTAGTCTTTCCATCCAACCAAAACTTCGATCCAGAGCAAGAGAACTGTTGGCCTGATTTCAATGACATACAAGGGATGTTGATGGTCCCCAGAGGATGAATCCTAATACATGTCTTTTCAACTGCTAATCAACAGAGAAATGTCTCATGACCATATGTGACAGAATATTAACGTACAAAATATTTGAAGGTTTGAAAACAAAGTATATGTACATTAATGTCAAACCTAATATACATAAAACCAAACACTGAAATAATTTTTAATTGTACTTAAATCCACAAGAAACATTTTAAACCAGTAATGTTAATTTTAGCTTTCAAATGTTTACAATATATTCTAGGTGTTCAGTGTTTTTGTGTGAGCTGTAACTCATGTGTTGCTCCGATTTAAAAAGTAGGAGGATCACAACTCTTTACTTCAAATAAGACTACAGGGCAACACACACTGGCTATATCCTGTCATATACGCACATATGTCAGAAATCAAAGCAATGGACAATTTAAAAACGAGACCTGATGATTGTGAGAGATGAAAACTTACCAAAGTCAGTAGGATTCTTCCTCTGAGCAACATGAACCAATGATCCACCGAGACACTCTGCTAGTGTGTCTAAAAAGGAAATCAAAGAAGAGACAGTCATGTTAATATGAACATTAGAGAAACACATCATGGGGCTGAAATATGATACTGGTTTATAATTTGGAGTCAACCACCTCAGCTGACACATTAAGCATCAGACAGGTTTTTGTATTACTCTCTTTCACTGTGGGCTTGCTCTTTGGCTCTGGAGCTAAACTGTATGTAACAGGTAAGAATAATCATTCATTTTATATCAGCTGTTTTATTGAACAAGTTGAAAATGTGTTTGTAATGATTTTTTTGCTACAAGTTGTGTTTTTTTCAAAACTAGTAGTTCTTACAGCCATGCAGCTGTTACATAAACAAAGTTCATAAATCCTGAAAAGATGTTTAAATCTTGCTGCACAGCTCAAGTTATTCTTTATTTTTGCAGGAGATTAAACTGATTTATATACAAAAAGTATGATATTGGAAATTTTACAGATATACAGCATTTGATCCTCTAAGTGATTTAGCACCATCTCTTGTTTTTATGAAACAGGATTTTATGTGATATAAAACATTCATATAGGTCAGTAAATGTATTTAAAAACAATATAACTTTAAATATGCTGTTAAGAAAATTGTTAAATAATTTTTGAATATTAAAACTGACCTCATGGCAATTGTATTTTATATAATATTAATTTTATATTTCTTTTAGTGGAGGATATAGTCATACAGTAAAGCAAACAAATACTGAATAAATTCCACAATTCATGCAAATTTATATATTTTTGTTTATGATACAGGGTGATATATAATGGTACATAATGTACATAATATGCTTTAAATAATTTCAAATATATAAGAAATACAATAATAATAATAATAATAATAATAATAATAATAATTAGATTTAGGAAAGTATATGGAGGTAAACATGTATAGAAATATATTTAAATTATGTTTCAGATACTGCACATATTTTAATTTCAAGTTCAAGTTTTATGTTGTCTTTAATACACAGCAGTTTTTAATTCACATTTAACATATCCTAACACATCATTAATTGTGTGTGAAGATTAAAACTGTTATGAAAAAGTAATGAAATTATTCATTTGTTTCTTCTGTGGTTAATGTATACTATGTTACATACATTTTAATTATTAAAATGATTTGTTTTAAATGTGATTGTAAATATGTAACTCATAATAAAATGTATATTAACACTCATACAAACACATTTCCATTGTTTTATGGTAAATTCCATAACTGTATTAAATTATATTATATTGTGTTATATTTTTTAGTAATATAAATTATTGTGAAATTAGAGTGATTGGACTTTAAAAAAAGACACTTGCCTAAATACATAATTTTCTTTTGTTCCCATATAACACATGCTGACAGTAGCTGCTCAGTATTTTTGACATGAAGGTGTATCCAGTTATGAAGTGAACTTTTTGCTGTACTGATGAATAGTTAAATGATCAGAGTTTATGTAGTTTCCAAGATCAGACTGAATACAGTGCAGTGCTGGAAGCTGCTGTTGACTGTGTGACTGTGTGAATGTTTGTCTGTGCTGCTTGTTGCTGCTGTCAAATTTCAGATGAGCAGGTTGTGAAACCCGTGGTGAGCGTGTACCCAGCAGCATCCAGAGCCCACCTGGAGGGGAAGACCTCCCTGCTGTGTCTGGCCTCAGCCATGTTTCCCCCTCTGGTCCAGTTTTCCTGGAAAAGACGAAAGGAGAATGGACCTCTGGAGAAGCTGCCCCCTGCTGAGGGAGAGCAGCTGGAGCTCAGAGAGTGGGGACACAGTGCTGCCATCCTGCTGATCCATCAGCAAGAGAACAGCGCATATAAATACCGCTGCTATGTCCAGCATGAGGGGGGAACAGTGGAGGCCGACACAGAACAAGGTAAAGAAGGCTTGGTGACTGTGTTCAGCAGCGACTGAGCTCAATGACAGCACTAGGATTTTCCCCAGTGGACCACTTGAGAATTGGGGCCAATGCAACACAATATATACTGTACATAATTTTAAACAGGCCCATCTTCTGTGTGACTGGCCTAGGCGAATGGAAAGTCAGCCCACTTGGGTTGGATTTTAATTCGGTCAGACTTTTTTCTGGCCCAAATACCCAGTTCATTCTAACTTTAACTGGGCTCTGCATCTTTGTGGTGCCATTTGGACACATATTGGAGTGAAGCAAGACAAGAAAAGAGTAAGACAAGTAAAATTCAGGTTTGGTTGGCTATTTAGTTAAATCTGCTTTTTGTTGAATTATTTAAAGTTGATGCACTTGTCAGTGTCACTTTTTGTGAACAAACTAATCATTGCCTAGATAGGCAGGGCATTAAAAAATGTTTCATGCTGCTGAAGACTTTTGCAATGATAAACTCATTATAATAAAGGAATGGTTATGATTTTTGACAGACAAATTAACAAATTAGAGATAATGAACAGAGGACTGACACTTCTCAATGCAACTCCAACCATCTGACTCCTTTTCTGTTACAGAGGTTTCTACCTTTCCACCATCACTTCCAACAGCAGCTTCAACAACACCTCCTCCACCATCACTTCCAACAGCAGCTTCAACAACACCTCCTCCACCATCACTTCCACCTGCCATTGCTTCTGACCTGTCTCAGTACCAAGTGAAGCTGTTCTGTGTACTGTACACAGTGCTGATAGTGAAGAGTCTGGTGTACTGCTGTGGACTCTCTCTATTGATGGTCCTCAGAAACAAGGGACCGTCGACAAACTACACACATGGTAACTGAGTGTTTTCTGCTCACCTCCTCTCACCATCATATCTCATTGATTCATCTCAATTATCTCTTTGATGAGTTTTCACAAATATAACCTTACATATTCTTAAGATAAGGGACAAAACAGGTTTTAAAAATCTTTTTTTTTTAAAAAAAAAAAAAAAAAATGCACACTATATTTTTTGGAACTGGATATGTCTGTAGGGAAAAGTCTTAGCTATTTAACTATGTAAAGGAACAGGTTCTAAATAAAAATACATATAGTATGTTTCACTTTAGAACTTGATTTGTGTCAACTCCGTCAGAACCACTAAAAAGTCTACAATTCTAATTCTTCCAGTACAAAAAGACTCTTAAGGTCCTGAAATACATTGGAATAGTGTTTAGTTACACTGACATGTAATAAAATACAATATATAAACATGTGTTGTGATTTCACACTATTCTGAATACCCAAATTTTTTAATGTCTGCATTTTCAATCTTTGTTATTGTTTTTAATACCATAAATGCAATTTCCTTAGATAAATAAGGCATAAGATGATGTAGATTAGATAATTGTTTATTACATAAGCAACATTAACAAAAATCAACAAAAACATACATGTGGCAGTGTTGATGAAGAACTGACGGCGTTGACAATAAACTTAAGTGCATTACTGATTAGTAAACAAATATGATTTTAAACATATTGAGGTGACAATAGATGAAGAACAAACTATTTTTCTCTTTTACTGAACATAAATAACATAAGTAACAGTTAGCAAACATCTTGTAAATTACACCGTTTACAACTATCTTCAAAAACTATGTTTTTGGTGATATCTAGTGGTGAAAATAAAAGCATAATGGATTAGGTAGAAATTTAATGTAGCATTTTTAGTCATGTTAAATTAGTGAAATAAGAAAATAATAAATATTCAGTTTTTCTGACATCAGAATAAGCCCTTTATATCTACCCTCCACATAGGCCACCATTCAATGTAAAATTCAGTTTCACCACTTTATGTTGCTAAAATCAACACACTGGCCCTTCAATTTAACATATATTTATATAATTATATAATATAAATGCTGGGAAAGTTACATGATAATCAGTAGACCACAAAGCTTGTCGATACTCTACAAGTCAGAAGTGTAGGGTATCTAGTACAAGCTTAAATAACATAATTTATGCTATATATATACATTTGTGTGTAAATAAATCCCTGAAATAGAATTTTAATCCTTTACGTTGTTCACAGATAATATTATATTCGCACATTCAGAGGTTATAGGTGGATTTGTCAACTCCAACAGCTTAGATGTCAACTCCGTCAGGTCACTTGACGTAGTTGACATCGGACAAGGGAATGTATTTTCCCGCCAAAACATGTGTTGTACACTGCAGCAAGCTGAGTTTTCCTTGGTTGCTAGCCGCCTCAATAACCTGACTAACATGCCTAAATTCGATTCATTACTGTTTAAAAAAAAGATCATTATAACGCAGAGAAGGTGTTGACATGTTCCAGCTGTGATCGTAGGAATATCAACATTGTTCTTCTAAAATATTAAAAAATGCAAAACTTTCCAGAGCATATTGGGTAGTGCTGCATTCAGCACAGTCAGGAAGATGAAAAGGGGTCCTCAAGGATTTTGCTAACCATGCTATTGCCTGATTTAGTAAGAATTATAAAAAAAATCTGACGGAGTTGACAGAAGCTGAGGACACAACTTTGTTGGCAGATTTTTAAGAAAAATATTGTCTGATGTTCACTTTATGTGTTGTATAAATATAGAACCATTCTTTTTTGTTCAATATATATATATATATATATTTCCACAATGGTATATTTTTAAAGTTTTTTTTGTGTGGGCCAATATTGTGACCTCTTGCTGAGGACAAGTACAATAACATGGACCTCTTAACTGCAGACCAGACATTTGAACAAATTTGCCAAAAAACAGTTAAAAGTGGGTGATAAAAATGACATTGGTATACGCAGTTCCTTCAGATTTAACTATTGTAAGTATGTAAATCATGATGAATTTATTGATTTTTCATTTAAATTAGACTTTTTTTGTGTGGGACATGTTTTGTCCCATCTCTCAAGAATCAGTAACCTATGACATGTTGTGGTTGATTTTAAAATATATCTTTTATGGATAAGTTAGATACAGTCAATCTTTTGTTGAGTTTGTACTTTATTTCCACATTTAATCGTGACCTGTATAATGAAAGAATCAGTAGCTGTTCTGCTTGATATTATATTTTTTATAGTATTTTTTTTCTGTTCTAGCATTTCTTTTTGAATATATTATGCAGAGTGTAACAGGTTTGTCTAATTCTTTCACTGTAACACCCTTAATAAAGTGAAAAATCAATGTGTCTGTGTTTTACATCTTTGTTTATATGGTTTTAAGTTTGGCTTCATAGCAAATAATCAGAAACAGAGTTAATTCCACTGGCAGTGTATGTTGACACCTAAGTAATTTGACTGATAGCAAATTGCTTTGAAAATACTTTCACACAGCAACACGAAAAAATGTACAGGAAGATATGAATATACACAGATATTATCTGCATATTTTATTGTATGCTGATGATATTGTTCTACTGCCTGAATCTGAGGATGATTTACAAAACATGTTAAATTTGTCAAAGACCTTGTGTTACAGATGGAGATTATCAATAAAACAAAGTAAAACACAGACAGCTCATTTCAGGAAAAAATGTATTCCAAAATATAGGAACAATCTGACTTTTGGGATTGTAACACTGGAAAATCCACCTGAATGTAAATATTTGCGATTTACTCTATATGAATTTATGACTTATGAAGACAGCTAAAATCTTGGCAGGTTCAGCTGGGAGGGCATTGGGGTCTGTTGTCAAATTTGAAATAAAATAAAAAAAAGATTTGGTTACTCCCACCTTTATGATGCAGGTAACTCTACAGAGAATCATAAGTTTGCTCCTACTTTAGCTGTGCAGGGTGATATGGGTTGGTTTTCTGGACCACAAAGGCAAAATGTGAATCGACAAAATTGTGGAATCATTTGCTTAAAGCTACAGTAGGCAACATTGTTTTGATATAATTGAGTAAAAAATTTTATAATATCCTCTAAGCATAATGTAAATAAGTGGTCTGAAACAAACAATAGGTTTCTGCACCTCACCATGGCTCCGTGTTCAGCCTCTAAAGAATCAGTATCGTGCCAATGTGCATCAACCAATCAAAGGTCAGCTCAGACCACTGCGTTCCTATTGGCTGTTCTACTATATATGCGCGTTCCCGTGCCGCCAGCAGAAGGGGAGAGCAAGTGGCAATGACAAGCAGTGCACCAGGTAAAATAGCTATTCAGCACAGCAACTGCCTACACGGCTAAACAGCCCAAAAAAAGGAAGACAGAACTTGGTTCCCCAGAGCCCCAGAGGGAGGGGAAGGGTGAGGTGGGGCTGGGCCTGGCCAGAGGGCGCGAGGGTCGGCTCAGCTCTCCGCGGAGAGGGAGAGCTGAGCCTCAGGGGTATCTGCGTGGGAGCGGAGCCAAGGGCTCTCCGCGGAGAGGGAGAGCTGAGCCTCGGGGGTATATTTGTGGGGTCGCGAGGGAGGGATGGGGCGGGCTGCCGCGCGGTGAGGGAGAGCCGAGGCTCCCAGAGAAGGAGAAATAGAACCAAGTAGGATAAAATACTCGCATGCTAGTCTGGTAGGAGGGGCTCAGGGCAGAGACGAACGAAACCTAACTCAGATGAGACTCAAAAATCAACCGTTTTCAGGCTTTCTACCTACTGCAGCTTTAATATGTCAGAAAACAGAGTCAATAAGAAGGTTTTCTTTGGTGTAAATCACATAATTCTCCATTGGCTACAGAGCTTCATGCTGTATTTGATGAAGCTGAATTACACTATATGTATAATAAAATTCAACATGCAGCATGAACACAGAAGAAAGTTATTTACTAGATTTGAAGACAAATGGTTAAAAGGTATCCTTTTAAACCAAAGTTAAGAGCATACTGTAGATATAAATCTTGCACAGTTATGGCACTGAACCTTATGTATTTGCAAATTTATCATGGAGCCAAATGTTTTTTTGAAGATTCTTTTGGGCTTTTTGCCTTTAAAGGATAGGACAGTATCATGTAAAAGGGGAAGAGAGAGTGGGGATGACACACAACAAAGGGCTGCTGCAGCAAGGATGGAGCCTTTGTACATGGGGCGCCTGGTCTATCCACTAAGCCACTAACGCCCCGGTGTCAAATGTCTTAAGTTGCACAGTTAAGAACAGGAATCGTTCCTCTGGTGCTTGAAGTTGTCAGATTTAAAAACATCCAATAGGACACCAGGTTGTGTGAATTGTGCAAATTAGAAGTTGAGACTAAACCACAGTTTCATCTGTATTGTCCTTTTTATAATGAGTTAAGAATATCTATATTAAATGAAAATCCTGAAATGTTTGGGTGGATTGACAATGGCAGAATGGAATGGTTGTTTACTTTTAATGGTTACAAACTGGGTACCCTTTTTTCTAAAGCTTGGGAAAAACATCAAGATGGTTTATTTGTTCAGCTTTATTTGTAATTTATGTTGCTACTTTGGTCTCTTCCAAAATAAATGTGTCTAGTAAGCCTGTTTAGATTGGGCATATTATTTATGTATGACACAATGATTAAAAAAAATCAATCATACACATAACACTAACAAAAGAACGCAAGAGAAAAACAAAGCTAAACAAAGATCAGCAAATACGCACAGCTATTACCTACAAGTCAGTAGGTGTGGGTGTTCCACCAGGTTCAGTGCTGAGCCCCTTTTATAATTATGTCAGTGTAGATGTAAAACTCTATGCTGATGAAACTGTTGTTTACACACATGAACAAAGAACAGCGCTAGCTGCATTGAAGCTGCAACTGTTATAAAATTATGACACAGCGGCTTCATCAGTTGGCCTGAAGTTGGAATGTTGGTGAAATAATGGAGGTATTTTTTTCTATACAAAACTATTAGAGCTTCATCTGGAAAAAATGATTCATTGTTACTGATTATACATACATTTTTATTCAAATTTATGTCACATGCTTCAAGCCAGAATCATTAAATGCTTTACAAAAAAATACAAAATTTATACATAGTAGAAAAAAAGAAAAACACAAATTCTAATCTGAAACCTGTTGTAAATGAAATAAACAGATACATTAGAAATTAGTGTTGTGTCATGTTACAAGTTGGGTTTGGGTCTGGAGACGCTGTCATCAAACTGTCACTGTTAAAGAAAACATAAAAAGCCTGGATACAGTGACATTAATATATAATCTCTATAAATAATAATTAAATATGCAGGACATTATTTTCTATCAAGAGAAACCCTGACC